ACATATTTGAAGACATATTGCCTGACCATTATTTTAATCCATAAACCTTACAATAAAAAACATTGTAAGATTTATGATTTCAAAATGACTTGAAGAAATAATAACTTAATATATTATAGTAAAATGAGTGATACAGTCGGTATCAATGCTAAAAATATATTGAAAGACAAATTTATGAGTTATAAATGCGATGACTGTGAAATGCTAAAATTACCAATTGAACGCGGTTTTGCAAATGGCGTTTGTAATAATATTTGTCAATATATAATATGCAATAATTGCAATAGAATTATAAAAAAATTGATGATATGAATAACAAGGATATTGATATTATAAATAATGAAACTATTGATGATGATTTAGAAATATTTGTATTTATTGAAATGAATAATTTCTTAACTATAGAAGGATTTGATAATTTATTAGAATGTAACGACGAAGGATATAATAATGATTTTATTTTTAAGTATTATAGTATTGTAAAACAATTATACAATATGTCTTTTAATATTAAACGTTTAAAATATGTTGTATTGTTTGATTTTTTAAATGATTTTTTAAATGATGAGTATAACACTCACGAACTTAGATATACAATAAAACGTGCGATTGGAATAATGGGAATGTTTAGAAAACAAATAAAAAATAATTTTTATAATGAAACAACGTGTGATAAAATAATAGAAAGACTTAAATTAATAATTTAGTTTTAGGCGAAATAGTCCTAAAGAAAAAACACCTTATATTAATAGTGAAGAAATGAACGGTATTGAAATCAATAAGTATATTAATAAGAAATGCTATGATTGTTGCCACTTTAAAAAGGAAAATATGGAATTGTATAAATTAAATTTACCTAATGGAATAATAAATAATATTATTGATTATTCAATGGGTGAAGAAGATGTATGCGAAAATTGTAAAACCTGGAGAGATAACCAAGCTATAATCAAATGTTTGTTGAGATTAAAAGGAAGACATAGTAGAAATGTAGAAGATGACATTTTGATATTTTTAACTGTGTATAAATTACCACCTTACGTTTATGTTAAACAGTTTCTTAAAATCAGTAAGAAAAGATATGAAATGATTTATGATATATTAAGGATGTTGTGTTATAGTCAAAAGAAAGGAGAAGATATTAAAGAATATATCAAATTTTATATTGAAATTTGTAAAAAGTTTAATGTTAAAAATACAGTGAGAGATATTAATATTATTTTTAAAATGATGTATGAAATAAATGAGATTTGTCAATTAAATTATTATCCTGAACTGAAATTATAAATTACACCATAAACCTTACAATAAAAACATTGTAAGATTTATGATTTGGATTTATGGGGATTTTGGGATTTGGGATTTTGGAAAAATATATTTTTGGGAATTTAGAAAAATATTTGTAAAATTTATGTATCAAATCTTGAGTTGAGGTTCTGTTATGAATTGATGAAAAAATATTATGTGGATTGGTCGGTTGAGGGGATTTTATCTGAACTGGGGGGTCCTCTTGGGTAGGTCATACACCCCCTCCCCTCCAACCAACATCGCACCTCACAGGGGGTCCCTACAAGAGGAACATGATCTTCCAGGAACCCTCAGGTGCTATGTTAGTGAAAGGGGAGATTTGGTCGCCTGCATCCCACTCGAATGAACCCTGTGTCAGTGCCCTCGACAGCAGGTTCTGCGTTTGCAAGTGACATTGGAAATGGTGACGAGCACCCCCCCTCCGATTTCCTAGTGAGTACGCCCAACATCATCCCTCTTTACTATAATAGATGATGTTGAATATTGCCAGTTGCCGACACACGGTTCAAGTGTGGATAGGAAGGAGTCGAACTCTGGCTTACTTTCGCTTGAATTTTGGATTCACTGTGCCCGTGAGCCAGCCCACCTTGCAAAGCTACATGCACCAGCTAGCCACCCAGCAAACTGAAAGCAAACATGATGGAGCCAACTAAAACACGGTCCATCGCGAAGCCCCAACACAAATGGTCCCAAGACAAGGCTCCCCTCCCCCCCTCTCCCCATCCCCGGCCTGAAGAAGTCCCACCTCTTTGGCAATGGATGCCGCCGTGGACATCGTCCGCACCGTGGGGCTGCTGTAGATTGCTGTGACCCCGCTGGAAGAGGCGTGCAGGTCTTTCAGGATCTTCTTCCCTGCCTGGCTGCCCTGCTCCCAGCCTGGCAGAATGGTGGAGGGAGCTGAGGAGGGGAGGAGAGGAGAGAGGAGAGAGGAGAGGAGAGAAGAGGAGCGAGGAGAGAGGAGAGAGGAGAGGAGAGAGGAGAGGAGAGAAGAGGAGCGAGGAGAGAGGAGAGAGGAGAGAAGAGAGGAGAGAGAAAAAAAGAGGAGAGGGGAGAGGGAGGAGGGGAGAGGAGGAGGGGAGAGGAGGAGGGGAGAGGAGGAGGGGAGAGGAGGAGGGGAGAGGAGGAGGGGAGAGGAGGAGGGGAGAGGAGGAGGGGAGAGGAGGAGAGGAGAGAGGGCAGCCATGAGTGGCACTTTGGGTGCCAGAACAAGAGGTTCACTGGAAAAGCAATCCTTGTTGCGATGGGCTCATTGCTGGTTTGAAGTCGTTCCAGCAACCTGCGGAACGGGCGGGCGGGCGACGGCGGGCGGGCGACGGCGGGCGGGCATGCGTGGGTGGGGTGGGGTGGGGTGGGTGGGTGGGGTGGGGTGGGGTGGGGTGGGGTGGGGTGGGGTGGGGTTGGGTTGGGTTGGGTTGGGTTGGGTTGGGTTGGGTGGGTGGGTGGGTTGGGTGGGAGGGTGGGCGGGCGGGTGGGTGGGTGGGTGGGTCAGGTGGGGTTGCATGGGTGCGTGTGTGGGTGCGCGGCTGCATGTGGGTACGTGCGTGCGTGCGTGCGTGCGTGCGTGCGTGCGTGCGTGCGTGCGTGCGTGCGAGCGTGCGTGCGTGCGTGCGTGCGTGCCGTCGTGCGTGCGGCGTATGCGTGCGTGCGTGCGTGCGTGCGTGCGTGCGCTGCGTGCGTGCGTGCGTGCGTGCGTGCGTGCCGTGCGTGCGTGCGTGCCGTTGCGTGCGAGCGTGCGAGCGTGCGTGCGTGCGTGCGTGCGTGCGTGCGTGCGTGCGTGGCGCTGCGTGCGTGCGTGCGTGCGGCGTGCGTGCGTGCGAGCCGTGCGAGCTGCTGCTGCGTGCGTGTCGTGCGTGCGTACGTGCGTGGCGTGCGTGCGTGTGTGTTTGTGTGTGGGTGGGTGTGGTGTGTGTGTGTATGGGGGTGGGTGGGTGGGTGGGTGGGTGGGTGGGTGGGTGGGTGGGTGGGTGGGTGGGTGGGTGGGTGGGTGGGTGGGTGGGTGTGTGTGTGTGTGTGGGTGCGTGCGTGCGTGCGTGCGTGCGTGCGTGCGCGCGCGGCGTGGCGTGCACGTAGGCGCGTGCGTGTGCGTTGCGTCTGCATGTGCATGTGGGACATGTGCGTGTGGGACGTGTGAGTGTGAACAGCGTGCGTGCGCGTGTGCACGTGTGCGCATGCGTGTCAGTGTCGGTGGCTTCCTTGTTTGCTTGTTTCTTTGTTTGCTTTTCTTCCTTACTTGTTTGCTCCTTGGTTGGTTGCTTGCTTGCTCGCTTGCTTGGTTGCTTGCTTGGTCGTTTGTGTGCGTGTGTATGTTCGTGTGTATGTATGCATGTTGGTGCTGGTGCCTGTGGAGGATGGTCACGAGAGGTTGAGGTCTGCTTCGACATTTGCTCCTACATGTGAATCCTTGTCAGCTTCTGAAAAGCTGAACCATGCTAATGTCAACCCCAAACTGGCCCATTGGACCTGGCAACCGCTGAAAGGTCCAAGATCTATGACCAGAACGAGGCACGCTGAGCCCAACTGCAAGCTCTCCAGGTGGTCAAACTTGCAAACTCATAATAAGCTAGTTCAAAAGAGTAGCACGGCCTAGTCACCAATGTACCAGTGCTCAGTGCCCGAAAGTTGTAAGGACACCTTCCATTGTGCAGGCCATGTCCCTTTTAGACACACCCCTTTTTGCCCTTTTCCATGTGAACTTGCAGGCGCCCCGCCGTCTTTCGTGAGCGGCGGATCATACTGCGTCTCGTCTGTTGCTAGCTCTGCCCATGCGCCTGACAGCCAGCGCGAGCGATGAGCGCGAGCGCCGCGTGCGCGGCGCGCGCCGGCCGCACGCGCCAAGGAACTGCTTGGGGGACGAAAAATGTGAGCCGGGTTTTCTGTTAAGCCCTCCTGAGGTCTGAGAATCAAGCCAATTGTACCTGACCACATCTGAACCTCACGCTGGAACTTTCCAGTGTACATCCCAAGTGCTGCTCAACGCGCATCCCGTTATGCATGTGATGTACCAAAGTTCCCCGCCGTGATAGGCACAAACTCCAGACATGATGCTGACATGCGGGCGCGAGACTTCGCCCAAACCCGCCTAGGTTGATTTCATCCAGGCGCTCTCCATGTCGCACCAGCACTACGTAGGTAGGCGGCCCCATTTGGCAGTGAAAGACTCGAGCCGAGAACTCCCACAGAATTCTTGGAGCCATGTGAGCGGATTTTCGCCCTTTCCCATGGGCCGAAACCTGGAAGACAAAATGGCCAAAAGTGGGAGCTTCTCAAGGTGGTCCCTTGGGTTCGTGTTTGAGGGGACATCCCAATTTTGAGAGGCACCGACACCCAATTGTGCTCCCTGGATGTACTTGAAGAGACGGTGCGGCTCTTGGTGTACATCGAGGGGGTGAACTAGCAGGATGTCAAACTTGTGGTGCGAAAAGAAACACTGCAAAATAGTGCTCTCACACATGCACGATATGCAAAAAGAAGCCGCCACGCAATCAAATTGACAAACGCAAGGCAACAATGGCAAAATGGACAAACATACTCCTGCCATGCAAGCGACAAGACGGACCCACCGCACCACTTCCCAAGCACGCCCATTAGCGCATGCAGACCTTGTCAAGGGTCCCATGTCAAATTGGCAGCACACACACACACACACTGCTTGTTTGGGGGCAAAATCCCGAGACACCTCTCCCATGAAACCGTCCTTCTGATGCTGCTCCGCTGCTTGCTTGCAGTCGGAAGCCACATGACCACGATCGCCGCAGATGGTGCACTTCACTTCAGCCATCCTCAAGCTTCCTCCCCCATTTCAACTTCATGGTTCGCATGATGAAGGTCAGCCGGATGATCAAGTGTGCTAAGACTTACTTTAAGAGCTGCGCGATCACATATTTGTTTTGCAGAATATATGCATCCTATGAGGCCCACCAAATTTGTCATGTTTTGGGTGGTTGGCCAAAGAGTTCCAGAGAGTTGTGGAGGGATTTCAAAGTCCGTGGCTAGCGGAAACCTAGCACTAACCATGATTGACTTGATTCTCAAAGGCGCCCTTCTACCGAATGCAGAACTGCATAATTCCAAAGCCGGCACATGCAGCAAGTCTCCCCAGTCGGTTGGCCCAAGTCCGTTGACCGCGGCCCGGCGCGTGTTTCAGCCTTATTAACACCTTCACCCCCAGGCACCCCGGCTTGTAGCTGAAGGCCTCCGTCTCTGGACAATCAAAGCCTGGCGTGCGCAGGCTGGCACAAGTGGATTCAAATCTGTGCCTTGGCCCGTGTCATGCGACACGGACTAGAAATCCCAGAAATGTAGGTCACATGAGGTAAATTGTGTCGATGATGCGCCGGCATGCGATTCCTTTGCTCAACGGGTTCATCAAACAAACCCGTCCAAAAGCCACGCGAAGCACGAACAACGTCCGAAGAAACCAAAGTTGGGCTTGGCGCATGTACAAATATCTTATTACAACCATCCATCGACTGCTGCCATTCTGCCAACCAACTGACCCACCAGATATGTCCCGCGCAAGACCCAGCCGAGCTTTCGGGGCGCAACTCCCCACGTGCGGAAAGCTTGGCCCGGGGGTTCTCGTGGTCCCGGCCCAGGTGGCCAATGGCACCACACACCCCGCAGCGCTGCTCGGACCTGAGCTGGGAACGCGGCGGATGGAGCCTGGGGGATGGTGGAGGGACCGGATGGGGGGGATATTTGGGGGCGATTTGGGAGCGATTTGGCCGGGGGGGGGGGGAAGATGAAACGAACCCTGGAAATAGTGGGGAGAAATCACTTATCAACTGCTGCAGGCATGAGGTTCAGGGTTTCTGAACGGTGGTGCGAAATGTGTTTTTTCCATCTACAGTAGGTGTCCTTTTGGTAGGTGGCACTGGTAGATTATGAAGCCAGGCCAACCAGGAATCCCCATCTATGTTCTAACTGAAATGAAGGGAGATGATAGATGACAAACTAGCAAATGATTGGAACCAACCTGCAACCAGCGCCATCCATTTTCAACCAAACTGAACTAAAAAACCCATGGTTGGAACTCTCTAAGAAGGCTTTGACTGCCCGGAGAAATGATTGGCTTCCCTTTGAATACCAACCACCAAAAGGGGTTGGGTTTCCTTGCAAATACCGACTAAACTCCCACCTATGACGCCTGGAGTGAAGCCAAATTGTCGCACTGGTGTTGTGGAGGTACCCTTCTCAGGATGAGCTCATTCCACTAACGCCTCTCCCCCCATTCTCTGGTTTGAAAGATGACTGGCTTCCCGCTCGTTGGCGTCTTAATCACCACCGCGTCCGCTCCTTTGGCGCCCGGGCTTCTTTAGGGTGAAACCCGTGACCAGCGCCAGCTGCTGCATGCCGTGGGTCCTGCGCTTCCGCGCGCGAGTCGCCCTTTCGGAAACCGTGGACATGGGTGGCCTGCAGAAGTGCGAGACCATTCGAGCACAGGCAAGGAGGACATGGGTGCATACCCCGCTTTTTGCCCACCCCATGGACTCAAACCCAGGGCTTCTTTCTCCTTTTGGGGGGGGGAATGATCCACCCAAAAGGTTTAAGTCTACCGTGGGTGTTTCCTTGGGGTGTCCCTTTCAAAACCACTCCAAACGGGGTGGCCTCAGAAAGAGACACACCCACCTGAAGCCGTTTCTTGATGGGTGGCTCTTTGTTGGACATGTCGGCGAGACTTCCTCGTCTCAGCCAGTCATCCCTAGCAACCCCAAGGCAAAGCCTTGCAAATCCTGGTGGCCTGTCCCCTGAAAAGCATCGACTTGTTGAGTGGAGTCTACAGAGTATGAATCACTCTGGACATCAACACGCCCATCCGCCCCTAGACTATACGGTGATCAACAACTTTCCAGGTCAGCTTCCCTCCCACTTGTAGTTTGGACAAAGGTAGGTCCTTTTGTCCATTCAAGTCAAATCCCCAAACCACCAATCCAAACCACCAACCAAGGGGTTACCATGGGTCATCGGAGTCGTGCTCTGGGCTTTGCTAGTGGCCCAGCCTGGCGTACTCAAACTCCGGGCTCTCCGGGTTGAGCAGCCTGAGAGCGAGCCGTCGGCTCCGAAGGGCCCAGCTCCAAAACACCAGATAGCTGTTTACTCATTCGTTCATTGATTTCATTTCACTTCACTTCACTTCACTTCCATTCCATTCCATTCCTTTCCTTTCCATTCCATTCCATTCCATTTGCTAATTCCTTCCTTCCTCTTTCCCTTCCTTCCTTGCTTCCTTTCTTCCTTCCTTCCTTGCTTCCTTCCTTTCTTCCTTCCTTCCTTCCTTGCTTCCTTCCTTCCTTCCTTCCTTTCTTACTTCCTTGCTTCCTTGCTTCCTTGCTTCCTTGCTTCCTTGCTTCCTTGCTTCCTTCCTTGCTTGCTTGCTTCCTTGCTTTCTTGCTTCCTTGCTTCCTTGCTTCCTTGCTTCCTTGCTTCCTTGCTTCCTTGCTTCCTTCCTTCCTTCCTTGCTTCCTTCCTTGCTTCCTTCCTTCCTTCCTTCCTTCCCTCCCTCCCTCCTTCCTTCCTTCCTTCCTCCCTTGCTTCCTTGCTTCCTTGCTTCCTTGCTTCCTCGCTTCCTTGCTTCCTTGCTTCCTTGCTTTCTTGCGTCCTTGCTTTCTTGCTTCCTTGCTTCCTTGCTTCCTTGCTTCCTCCTTCATTCCTTCATTCCTTCATTCATTCCTCCATTCCATTCCATTCCTTTCCATTCCATTCCGGTCCATTCCAGTCATTCCTTAATTCCTTCCCACCTTCCTGGCCTCCTGCATTCCTTCCTTCCTTCCTTCCTTCCTTCCTTCCTTCCTTCCTTCCTTCCTTCCTTCCTTCCTTCCTTCCTTCCTTCCTTCCTTCCTTCCTTCCTTCAATCGTTCATTCATTCCTTTCTTCTTTCATTCAATTCAATTCAATTCAAGTCAGGTCAATTCAATTCAATTCAATTAAATTAAATTCAAATCAATTATTCATTCATGCATTCATGCATTCATGCATTCATGCATTCATGCATTCATGCATTCATGCATTCATGCATTCATGCATTCATGCATTCATGCATTCATGCATTCATGCATTCATTCATTCATTCATTCATTCATGCATTCATGCATTCATGCATTCATGCATTCATGAATTCATGCATTCATGCATTCATGCATTCATTGCATTCATGCATTCATGCATTCATGCCATTCATGCCATTCATGCCATTCATGCATGCCATTCATTCATTCATTCATTCATTCATTCATTCATTCATTCATTCATTCATTCATTCATTCATTCATTCATTCATTCATTCATTCATTCATTCATTCATTCATTCATTATTCATTCATTCATTCATTCATTCATTCATTCATTCATTCATTCATTCATTCATTCATTCATTCATTCATTCATTCATTCATTCATTCATTCATTAATTCACTTCATTCACTTCATTCACTTCATTCACTTCATTCACTTCATTCACTTCATTCACTTCATTCACTTCATTCACTTCATTCACTTCGTTCACTTCGTTCACTTCGTTCACTTCGTTCACTTCATTCACTTCATTCACTTCATTCACTTCATTCACTTCATTCACTTCATTCCCTTCATTCACTCATTCACTCATTCACTCATTCACTCGTTCACTCGTTCACTCGTTCACTCGTTCACTCGTTCACTCGTTCACTCACTCATTCACTCATTCACTCATTCACTCATTCACTCATTCACTCATTCACTCATTCACTCATTCACTCATTCACTCATTCACTCATTCACTCATTCACTCATTCACTCATTCATTCATTCATATATACGTCACTTCACTCATTTGTGTGTCTCTCCCAACCCTCCCACCCAACACACCTTTGATTCATCCATGGGGGATGCGCGACCTGGTGTGTTGGGCCTGCCCCTCCATCCATGGTCAGTGGATGGGGCAGGCCAGCCAAATCGTTCCAGGGGAGAATTTCCCCCCTGAAAGTGAAAAAGATCGCCGGTGAAAACGGCCATGTGTACTCGTCAACCTGTCAGGGGGCGCAAAGGGGATGGTGGTGGGTACTCAAAACAGGCCTGAGCCTAAACACATGTGCCGTTTACGTGACGTTTCATGAGTGGCAAGCAACCCATTTCCACGTCACTTCACTCATTTGTGTGTCTCTCCCAACCCTCCCACCCAACACACCTTTGATTCATCCATGGGGGATGCGCGACCTGGTGTGTTGGGCCTGCCCCTCCATCCATGGTCAGTGGATGGGGCAGGCCAGCCAAATCGTTCCAGGGGAGAATTTCCCCTTCCGCAGGGCGACCCTGGAACGCTTTCCTTAAATGGAGCCCGCTGCCACTACACCCGATAGTGACAGCCTCCCTATGACTGACATGCTTCCTACCGCATGCCAGCTTGAGAGAAACCTCTCTCGTAACCCTCCTTCTTTGTTTTGTTTTCTTTCCCCCTGCCTCACCATGGTTCCTTCCATCTCATCTCCGCCTTCTTGGGCTTCTTGGCCGAGTTCTTGTCGTGGTGTTCCATGCCCTTCTTCTTCTTATCCTTCTCGAGCCTGATCTCCGAGTCCAGCTGAGTGGCCGCCTCCATGATCTTCGGAATCACTTTGAAGCCCACCTCGTCCAGCTCCAGCTCCGGGTTGAAGAGGGTGAAGTCCAGGTTGGTGAGCGCGTCTGCTTCTTCGTTCTGTTCCCGAGGCGTCCACCCGAGCTGAAGGGCAGTGCCCAACTCGCCCAGCTGAACTGCTAACTCCATCAGCACCACCGAGAGAGGGAACGCCGTGCTCATGTAGTGGTCGATGACGTGCGTGTTGACCAGACTGTCAGTGAACCCTTGCACCACGAGCTCGCCCGCCGAATCCCTCCACTGCGATCCGGGCCCGAAGATGCAAACAGCTACGGTGGTCGCGATCAGCTCCAGGCTAGCTATCACGCGGAACGGCTCGCCCTTCACGTAGGCCCACGGGGCCGTTTCCGTGTCAGCTCCAGCGAGAACCACCGGGCCTCCGTGGTGGCGCGACCTCCGAAGGACTCCCATCCTCCGACCACCACCAGATCTCCCTCCGCCTTGGCGTCCACCCGAAAGAGTTCGCCCACCTTCTTTGGCAGCGGCCGCGGCTCCGTCAGAGGACGCCGAGTGATCTCCACTTTGATGAACTCCAGCACGATCTGCACCGCCATCGGCACCTGATGAAAACCTCCCGGCTGAAGCCTAGAGGTCCACGCGAAGATCACCCCCAGGAAGGGGCGTACCTGCACCAGCGCGCCCGCCACGAACGAAAGCCGCCCCAGCGCTGATCTCATCCGGCTGCCCAGGATGCTGCCCTCGTCCTTGACCTCCTTTATCCAGCCGAGGACCCACGCTACCTTGCTGTCCCCTATGCCCTTGAGGTAGTGCTGAATGTCGGCCTCGTAGCCGATCCAGCCTAGCCTGGCCCCTCCAGCCACCTTCTTCCATGTGATCGGCACCTCCACCACGTCCATCACGAAGAACCAGTAGAGGATCCGCCTCCAGCAGTCCGCACCGTGAGCCCCGAGGAGCCCATCGTCAGCAAATAGCAGGTGATAGAGCTCGTAGGCTCCGGCCGACATGTAGTGTGCCAACCTGGTGACTGCCGCTGCCACCCTCTGCCACCAGTAGGCTGCCGACCCGAAACCGAAGGCCCCCACCGTGTGCATGAAGACCTCTTCCGGCCTCTCCAAGCTGAAGGCCATGAGTGGCCAGTCCTGCTCCTTGACGGGCACCAACTTGTGTGCACGGCTGACATCGTACTTCATGAGCAACCTGACTGCCGGGTTCGCTGCCTGGTCCGCCTTCATCTGCCTGACCATCGCCTCCAAGTCGTCCACCCCCGGGAACCTCATGCGGTCCCTCACCCGAATCCGGTGGTTGATCATCACCTCGTGGGTTGCGTCGTGAATGATCCTCACCTTTGATGACCCCAACTCCTTGGGGACCGCCCCCAGAGAGGCCACCGCTAATCTGCCTCCGAATCTTTCCCCCGCCGCCTGCTTGTCCATCCGGATCACGTGGCCCCTCTCGATGTCTTCCTCCACCTGCCGCCGAATGTCCTCCATGTTGTCCACCGCCGAGCCGTAGTTCTCGCACCAGACCTCCTTGAAGGGGCCATCCACCTCTTCGAGATTCCACTTCACCTTGGCTTCGAAGACCGCAGGCACCCGGGGCATCTCTTCGTCCACACCCAGGTCCACCCCCGTTTCCACCAAGGGGATGAGGAACTGGTGATCGGGGTCCTCCGCAACTCTCAGCAGGGCCTCCATCCTCCTGTAGTGGATCTCGCACCCCAGAGAGGCCAGCTTGACGTCCACCTCCCTCCGGCAGCCGTCCACAAATTTTCCGAACGGCGAGCCGGTGAGCCTGCCCGCCGCCATCTGCCAGAACGTCTCCTGGCCTCTTTCCTGACTCAGCCAACCTTTGAAGAACTTCGTGATGATCTCCCTGATCTCGCAAAAGTGGGCGCCCTCGGGAAAGTTCCTGGCCCCCACTCTCCATCTTCCCGGTGAACAGAGTCCTCCTCCGTCGTGAACGCCCCTCTTCTTGCCTTTGTAGCAGGCCTGCATAGGCCTCCCTACTCCCCAAAATCCCTTCACCTCGAAATCCTTTTCTCCACCGAACTTGCCCTCCTTGATGTCCCCGTCCGTCTCCTTCATGGTGTCCCAGGCGACCTTGCCCTTTGGGGAGTCCTTGATCGTTGCCTTCTTGATGTCCCAGGCGACCTTGCCCTTTGGGGAGTCCTTGATCGTTTCCTTCTCGAGCGCCTCCTTCTCGACAAGCCCTTCCACCCCTTCCGCAGGGGGCTTGGTGAGATGTGGTGCCTCCAGCAACGCCTGATTGATAGCCGCTGCCAGGGCCGTGTCCATGTCTGCGGGGTAGGTTGATGCTGCCGGGGTCCGGAAGGCTTCCTCCGGGTGCTGTTTGGCCAGACCGTACTTGTGGTTGTGGCCGCAATGCCTCGGCAGCGGGCCCAGGTATCTCCCCTGGCCGTCCAGTTGGGGCCACTGGTTATAGAGGAAACTGGCGTGCAGCGGGAGGTCTGTCAGCAAGCGCGTTGGCTTGGGGGTTGGGGCCCCCCAGTTGCACTGGTGCAGAGCGATGGACTGCATGCCCTCGAGCTTCTCCGCTGCGTTCCGGAGGTCCGGCAGCTTCCAAATGGATGCAGGACGCGCCCATTTACCCGACAGGTCGCACCACGTAGTGCCCAACAACATCAGGATGTCGATGAACAAAACGATCATGATGTTACCTTCATCCGCCCGCTTCTGCAGCTTCTCTGAGAGCCATGGGTACCCCCAAGGCCTTGTTTCGTCTCGTACTGGCTTGGGTCCGAAGTGATTGGCCCAAGTCACGCGCGACCACGTGCCACAAGGAGGGGTGACAATGATCACCGCGTACTTGCCCCCCTTGATCTGCTCCAGGACACCCTGCCGCTTGCCCTCGTCCGTGAGGTCGTGGTCCGGGTTCCTGAGAATGTCCCACTCTTCCAAGAGCACCTTGTAGCCCGCTTTCGAAGCCATCTCTCGCAGTTGGCTGCCCGTCGATGACTTCCTTTCCTCGCCGCTGAAGAGGTACAGCACGTTGAAGGTGCGCCCCGGCTCCTCTTGCCCAGCCGGGGCTACCTGCGGTCCTCAGTGTTCGTCCTTCCCCCCTTCGTTGGGGTTGGGACGACACAGATGCTGTGGGTGAGCCCCCAGGCATTTGCGGCAGCAGTGCACGCGGCTGCATGGGCCCCGGCACCTCTCTTGCGGATTGTTGTACTTGTAGCAGATCTGCCTGCCATCAAGTGTAGTGCTGTGCCACGCCCCCTCCTGCGCGTTGCCACCCTTGGCCTTGCCGCTGGCCCCCTTTCCTTTAGGCTTCCCCTTGTTCCGTCCTTTCGAACGGTCCATTCGGGACTCGCGCTCCCGGCCCCGACTCCTTCTCCAGCTCCTTGACCTGCTCTTGGCGGTCACCCAGCTGTTGCACGCCAGTGGAGTGGTCAGGAAGCGCTCCTTCACCAGGGGGTCCACCATGGCCTCCTCCAGAGAGTCCACCCAGCTGTGCCCTTTGTTGACCTTCTTGATGGCGGCCTTGCGGATCTGGTACTCGTAGGATAGCAGCAGCTCGAAGGAGGGCTGCGCCATGCTGCGGCCCTTGTCGTCCTTGGCCCTTAGACCGAAGACGTGCTCCCCCAGAAGGTGGTTGGCGTAGCGACTGAAGATGTTGGGCGTGATCTGCTGGAATGCCGCCTTGTTCGGGTAACGAAATGCGCACATCAGGATGGCGTTGGCCATGAGATCCAACCTTACCCGCAGCTCTTCCGGTCCCGATGGCCGCGAGTTCTGCACCGCCCCCTTCTTCACCTTGATCGTGCCCGTGCTGTGGTCGATGACCGCTCCGACTGGTGCCACATCCGCGTCCTCCCTGCTGACGAACTCGGTGAGGTGCATGAACCGCCACTCGCCCTGCTCGATCTGGTCGAACAGGTTCTCGAGGGTGCCGGGCGCCGGTGTGACCCTGTCCTCCATTTTCTGGCAGGTGTCCTCGTACTTGGACCGCAGCGCCGCATGCTCTGTTCGTGAGACCACTTTGGGCATGCTGGACACGGTGGCCTCGGCCTCGACCTTGTTGCGCGTTTCCACCCGCACCCTCGCTGCTTCCCATGCGTCGACCACCGCCGCGATGTTCACGTCTCCGCCGGCCGCATCTGGGTCGATGTTGAGTGTCCTCCGGCAGAAATCCCGGATACCGCCACGGTCGTCCGCCAGCACCGCAAACCGGCCGACTGTCCTCACCCTTGCTGCTGCCAACGCCACCTGCACATCCGGCGGCACCTCCTTGATGTCCAGCAAGCCACCGAAGTCGGGGTCCAGGGTCCCGATAGCTGCCCGCTGCGCCGCATCCAGCACCACCGCGCCGGCCATGACCCCCTTTCCTTTTCCGGCTCCAGCCGAAAGGTAGCAGCATCCATGCTGGTACCAACTGACCCTCGTGGCTCCCCATGTCCCGGCCCTTGCAAACAGATCTCAATCAAGAGCCGCTCTTGCATGCAGCTCAACCGCGCTGCATGCTACTATCCCTCCGACCCGACCTCCCCGACGCATGAAAGCTTGCCCGATTCCTCATGCGCCTGCAAGTGAGGTTGTACCTCAACCTCACCCTTCCTGCCCCCCCCTTTCCCAAACTGTCGGCCCCGCGCCTGTCCTTTTCCTGCCGACCCCTTTGGTTTGGGTGGATCTGAAAACGGGTGAAACAGGCTAGTCCAGCGACTCCGTGGATGCCGAAACCGAGGATGAAATCTCGCTGTCCTCGGTGGCCCCCGACTCGTCGCCCGCCTTGACACCCCGAGGGAAGCACTCCTTGCACACCCGGTACATGCCCTCCGGGGGTAGGTCCTCACCCAAGTCCTCAAACCGCTTGTAGTGCACCCCCGGGACACGATGACACTCTCCCCCCCGGTGGAGTATCCTCCTCTGCGATCTCCCCACCAGACTCACGAAGTATCGGCTCTTGTATCCCTCCGGCGTCCGATCTGGCTTGCTGGCGGTCTCTTCTCTTGCTCGCCTCGTCGCCGTCTTCCACCTCGACGATCTCCAGCTGATCCCTCTCCGAGGCCCGCCAGCTGTCCTTCCCGAGGATGCTCGCGAAAATGCCCCCCTGGAAGCTAGTCAGCCTCAGCTTCTGGTCCTCCACCTCGTTGGCGTCCATCTCTTGCCTCGCAAGCTTCTCCACGACCTTCTCCAAGATGGACTCCTCGTCCAGCTTGTCGGGGCTCCTCGGCCATCATCTTCTGCGCCTTCTCCACGTTGCCCCTGATGGACCTGACGTAGGCCTCGTCCGTGGAGGGCTGCCATCTGCCCAGCTGCTTGGCCACATAGTCGTCGACTCCCAGCGAGGCAGCCCAGGACCTCAAGGTTGCCCTTTCGGAGTGCTCCGACCAAACAGTACCCGCGCCCTGGCAAAGCAGAATCCCTCCAGGCCGTCCGACCCCTTCTAACTCATCCTGCTTCCGCTGGCTCATCACAAGCTCGCCCAGCAAGGCCTGACTCATCTGCGACGCGTGGTAGTACTTGCCCATGGCACCGATGAGGCCGGTGCCCTCGCAGTTGGGCAAGGCCAGGAAGAAGTCCCGATTGAACAAGCCGGCCTCCTCGCTCATGGTCTTCCACAGCTGGTAGCCAACCCCAAGCCACCTGGGCTCCTCCAGCCATGCCTCCACCGAGATGAAGACGTGCTGGATCTCGACCTTCTTTCCCGCTCCGGTGGTCTTGGTCCTTTCCAGAACCCCCCGAAGACCGCGGCCACTCATCTCCATCTTGCCGAAGGGCATTCCCTGCGTATCCGAGAAGCGCAGCGCCCCCCAGAGCTTCACCAACCGAAACCAGGCGTAGGCCCGGGGGTATCTAGGCACCCCCTCCGTCATCACGTATCTCTCCATGGCCATGATGATCTCTACCGGGATCTGCACAGCCTGCCGCCGTCCTCGCAAATCCAAGCTGCCCAGCTCCAGGTTGACCTCCTCCAGGGTGTTCTGGAGCGCAGGGTGCTTGCAGAGCCTTTCCCCCTCCGGCACCTCCCCAGCCACCTCGATGAACATGAGGGTCTTCATCAAACTTGTAGGGATGCTCTTGCCGCATGGCTCGGCCACCCGAAGCATGACGTACTCGATGAATTGCTCGATGGTCCGCGGCCATGGCACATTGAAGGTGCTGTACAGCCACGTGGCAACATGCCGCCAGGTCTTGACGTGCTTCCGCAAAGTGGTGGACCTCCTCCCTTTCCCGATCCTGTGCCAGGCCGTCCCATCTGGGTCCGCGTTCCACCCCTCAGCAGCTGGCAGCTCCGACTCCACGATGATCCTCTTGAGCATCACCGTCCACCTCGTCCTCTCCGATCTCTCGGCCCGATCTCGCAGGTCCATGTTGTCTCCAGCTCGCCCCACCAGCCTGCTGAGCCGGCAGGGCCAGCGTGCCAAGGGAGCTTTGCCCTTCCGGCAAGGCAGCGCTTCAAGATCAACGACCTCCGCCACCATTTCCCGCCGGAAGATCCTAGCCCGCTTGAAGCCAGCCGCCACCCAGTCCAACCCGCCTGACCGGCCTTCCACCCCCCACTGGATCCTGCCGGTGCTCCCGCACTCTTTGACCTTCTGGAAGAACTCCTCCAGCTCTTCCGCCGTGGCTTCACGCCCGAATGCCTTATCCAAGAGCTCGCGAAGGCCTCTCTTCGGCAGGTCGTCCAGTGTCGCGAGCCTGGCCGTAGTCCAGCCGCACACCGCCAGCCTGGACCACGGCTCAGGCCACTCCATCGCCGCGAGAGTGCCCCCCTCTACTCAAAACAGGCCTGAGCCTAAACACATGTGCCGTTTACGTGACGTTTCGTGGCAAGCAACCCATTTCCACATACATACATGCAGCTTTGGGGCCACGTCGCATACCTCAGGAGCGGGCGGCATCACGAGGTCTGTGGCGACTTGGATCTGCTCCTCCGTTTCTCCTTCAATGTGGACCTGCGCAAGCGCAGCCGAGTCAGAGTCATTGGGTAGATCCTCGTGTGCCGTCCAAACTCGGGCCGGACACATCAGGTTCATTGACAGCAATGGGGCAGCCGTGAGAAATACTGGACCCCGGAAAATGGAAGACATTGGTAAGTGTGTTGGGCGCCCCACAAAAACCGGGATTTGAGTCAGGTCGTGTCCTGCTTTCCGGGAAAACCACGCATTCCTTAGCGGGTAAACTAAAGAAAACTGGAAAGTTCTTACCAAAGGATCAATGACAATCCCTATCTCCAAGCAATCCAGGGTTGGGGGTGGGCCCTTGCTCATCTCGAGCTAAAGAAACAGAAACGGCTGTGCCCTTTTTTTGGGGTATCCTTTTGCTTTGCCAAAACCGCCATGCAACATTGCGCGACAAACCCTGATGTAGATCCAAGCATCAGAAAGCAGTTCCGGCCATGTGCAGTTGCGCAATCAAGCACTGGCCGGATGACGACGGCTGACTGGAGCTGCAGTTGTTCAGTGAGGCTAGTCCGGGGATGAGAGGATCAAGGTGCAAACCAAGTCTTTGAAAGGAACGGCACTTCTGCTTTGCTCCAGTGGAAATCGCATCTAACTATTAAGCAATGTTTGGCAAGCTGTCGCCAAACCGATCGATGCTGCAACAACCAAAAGATCGAAACCACGCTTTTTACGGTGGTAGCTTTCACGATGCGTAATCATGAAAGCATGCTGTGTCTGCCGTGTACTATGAGGCGCGTGGTTTCAAGCTTATCTGATTGACGGTTACGTGGTTGGGCGTGGCTTGGAAACAACACCCACAAGAGTACACTAGTGGCAACTATGCGGAATCATGGTATCATGGTTGATATGCCATAAAGCACGGTCGGTCCAGCAAGCTTATTTCAACAGACACATTCACTCGAATCAATCCTGAAAAAGGGCATGTCAGTTGGCGAAACTGAACAGTGAGTATGCAGCGCATGCTCGCATGCCAGAGAAAACCTTATGCATGAGAAGCGTTCATTTCTGGACAACAGATGTTCATCGACTGTACCTCTAGAACCAGGTTCGCAGTCCGGGCGGGTTTGGACGATCGACGCAACTCTTCAAAGGTCGCGGCATCTTTCTCGGGCCCCAAGCATGCTGAGGCATGTGGATCTCTTCGTCCGTCTGCCACTTGTCCCCAATGTCCTGAAGAAAACCCAAGCCGGGGGGGCTTTTCTCCAAATGGTGGACCCCCCTTTTGGCTGGTTTGGGAGACAATATCTTGAGATCCAGCATTGCACCCGCCCTGGTGCGCTCATGGCGGAGTGTATGTGCGTGCACGCACACATGCGTGCATGTATGCGTGCATGTGCGCATGTATTTGCGCGCGTGTCAAGCATGAACGAGATACGCTTCCTGCCAGCATGCATTGCGTGCTTTGGTCGTCCTTGCAGCCAGGCTTGTGTGTGTCCACGCTTGCGCCCGCCCCGTGCATTCAGGTGTCTGTGAGTCTGCTGATCCTTAGGTCCGCACGCCGTGCGTCTGTGATTGATAGATCAAGCGTCCAAAGTGTTCATCCACAGCTAATTGGTCCCTTCTGCAGGCTGGTGTAATTCTGTGCTCATCTGTCAATAAACACCCTGCTGCTCGCCACCTGTGATGGGATTAAGACATGTTGCAGTTTTCCGGATTGCCAAAATGACTGACTTTGCTTTCGGCCGCGAACCAACGGTTACCTAAAATCGTGCTTGGAATGCGGACCACGTGAGTGCCAGTCAAAAACCTAGTACTAAAATGGTCGACCCAGAACCATTTAACGAAGTACGAAGGCGGCCGCAACTATTTATGGTTGCGACTGTTCCTTACTAACCTTCAAATACTCCGGTTTGATTGTGACTCATGTGGCCATGGGTCAAAAGCCCGTGCCTCCAGTGAACATCCCAATCCCCGCTAAAATAGGAAGCCTAAAATGGGTGGTGAATGCACCTACCAACCAAAACGGGATCCAAAAACGGTTTTGACAACCACGGCCATGTAGCTGTTGCCTTCAAATTTGCGGGTGCAACCATTTTCCCGAGGGCCACGACCTGAACCGACAGCTCCCTCCTTGCCGCGGATGAAGATCCTGCAGCCGCTGGCTTCCTGCCATGAAATGTAAATCAGACGTCGGCTTCTCACTTCCCAGAACCTGGCGCTCAGCCAAGCCAACCCCAAAAAAAAAGAAACAAAAAACCTCCACCACATCTTCGGAACAAACAAATTGCGGAAGAGTCTCTCTGCACGGAGACAAAACCCGCGCGCCCCGAAAGCGGTGTGCCTGCAAGCGCTTGTGGTTCACACCCCGGGCGCCGATGATGACACCTGTGCCGCTCTCTTGATCTTTCGGGGGATGGCAGATCTCGCAAAAGGCAAGAGGACAGCAGATCCACAAGGGAGCCAACAAGCCATTTTCGCCGGCTCAAGAAGCATTTTCCTACAAGTCGAAACGGCAGTGAAACCCTGCACGCTCGTCGATTCGCCCTGAATAACTCAACATTGACCCGTGACAAACTTGCATCCAATTGAGATGCCTAGATTTCCCCAGAATGCTTCAAAAACGCGCCAGACCCTCTCAATGACACCCTCGAAGTAGCACCCTAAACTCTCAGAGCTCATACCCTCCCAAGAAACATGGAAGTGCACAGGCCTGTCTAAAAGGAAAAGTGGTCGTTCAAAAACGGCGGTCGCGATTCGTCCAAAAGCAGCCGGTGCTGATATCTATTCAGTCGGTACAAAATCCCACTTGTCAGACTTGTTGCAGGAGGTGGAAGGCAAGGCTGACACTGAGTCCGCAGCCCATGAAGGAAGCGTTCGGGTACTTCCTGAGCCGGAAAGAAAGAGAGGAACGCAAAAATTACACCATCGCCAACAGAACATGACCCAGCAATGAGAATGAGAATGAGAAAGTGGGGCTGTGTGGCCCTACTTTCTCATTGGCGGGTTTGTAGAACAGCGCAAGGCAACCCTCGGATTTTCGCCCCTCTGACCCAGAAAGTCACCGTTTTGAAATATATGCACCGCTGCACAGGCGCCATTCCCGTTGAACAAGATGCGTGTCAACCAAAACACACAGCTCGTCAAACGAACCCGCGGCAGGTTTCCTCTCCAGCACGGACTGCAATGCCGGCCAGTGAGCACCCATCTTGCTCGAGACGGGCTAACTCAAACGTATCCGCTTGGCACACTTGGCCAAAGAGCTGCGCAGTGAGCTTTGGTCACTGCTCGCTAAGTGTTTGTCATAGCTCAGGCAAACGGACGTTGCCACAATTAGACACCGCCCTTGGCGTGTGTCAACTCGAGCCAGGATCCATCATTTGAAGAGGCCAAAGAAACACAAGGCCTGTGACCAAGCCACTCCCCTCACAGGGCAGCTTTGGGCTTCAGCTTGGTCCTCACAGCACTCGAGTGCCTCTAAAGCCTCACCAGGTGGGCCTAGTGATGTAAAGGGCTTAGCCTCTCTGAGTGGTTGACCGCCGCTTTTTGCTATTGGGTCTCCTTTTGGTTTCCCTCGAAACCATACCACAAGGTTTCCCAAGCGAGTTCGGCCTCGCCCAGCCGGCAACAGAATCCATTGAAACTACTCCTGTTTGTTGCCAGCACGAGGCCTGGCCGGGAAAGGGAGGTTGTGGAAAAAGGCCAAAACGTATTCAAGCCAACGGCCACTTTGTGACACGTCTCTGGTTCCCTTTAGCTCGTTGCAAAGTAAAGGCCCAGGTGTGAGCTTGAGGGTTCATGCGCCCGGCACCTTAGAAACACTCCCCACCCAAACAAGATCAGCTAGCAGCAAACTGAACCCACCAGCCGCCACTTTGAGTCAAAACAAAAATATTTCGCTCAGGGCATTCTGTTGGGATGGACGACACCCCATGAAGACTGGGATTGATAACCCATCAACTGGTATACATATACCTATATATATATATATATATATGACCGGATTGAGTCCATCCACGGTATGGCAACCTACCAAATGGTGCAGAATCGCTGAAATGCAACCCAAATCTCCTTCTTGCATTCCAGCAACCAAAAGCTTTTTGTCGGCGGATCATGGCTCCATGCTTGTTGGGCTCCAGAATGGCTGTCTCCGCCCCCCACCCCACCCCACCCAACCCAACCCCACCCAACCCAACCCACCCCACGCCCCACCCCACACCCCCACGCGCCAACCCAACCCCACCCCAACCCCACCCCACCCAACCCAACCCACCCAACCCACCCCACCCAACCCACCCCACACCCCCACCCCACCCCACGCGCCACCCCAACACCCTACACCCAAAAAGCAAAACCCTTCCTGAACTCGGGGTCGCTGGCGCACTTCTCCACCAGCAGATCCAGCGCCTCGCTGACGCTCAGCTTTCTGACCATGGCCTGCCGCTCGGTTCGGAAGGCTTCCAAGGCGCCAATGCTCTTGAAGGATATGGGGGTGTCTGTCATGCGGGCACCCGTGTTTGGTGGTTTTAAAGGGAAACCAAGGAAAACCACCATTTCGGGGGTCCCCAAAATAAACGACACATCTGGAGGGCTTGTAGGCTATTTCTTGGGAGACTGCCCTCAAAATGGGTGGTTCTCCTATTTGACCCAAACCCCAAACCCATATGTGCCAGGGTCAATACTGGTGTCCCCAGGCATGGAATTTGCAAAGCACATCCCACATATCGGGGCTGCCCTCAGATCCCTCGCTAAAAGTTTACTTTTAGTGGACTAAATGGAAACTACCACTTAACACGGGATGGCTGGGAGCCACCAAGATATCTATGTGTGCATGTCAACCCCGCGGACTGCGGCCACCATCAGCCTGTGATGAAAATGGTTGGGATCTGCGGGTGGCACCCCGTTGGGGGCAAGCCCAGACCCGTCTCGATGCGAATGAGGGAGAGGGCCTGTCCTGAATCGATTCCATCACGAGGATCGGATGAAATGCCCAAGCCTTTTGATTCAGTGACCCAGTGTGCCCAGTTCTCCTGCTTCTGCCTTGCGCAGTTTCCCAAACAACACTTCTGCCTGGATCATTTCTTCTAAGGCGAGCTACACAAGGACTACCAAGGCATCTTGTGAATGTGCTTCCTGCCGATAGTTTTGACATCCTAAACCTAGTCACTGGCACTGACCTCCTAGATGCCATCCCAGTGGTCGAAATGAGAAATGCATTAATTCCAATGCCACAAGCACAAACGTGCTTATACACGAGCGGCGAGCCCATGTGCCCGAATCCAACGACGACCTGGTCTCTCTGTTTCGAGGACCAAACAAAAATGTGGCTGTCCTTTTGGCTTCCCTTGGCAAACCAACCAAAAAAGCCACCCAAATAGGAACTGCCACCCTTTCCATGTCCCTTTCCATGTCCCTTTCCATGCCCAAAAACCAACGGCTCATGTTCAGAAGCTCCCCCCATGTTCTTTCGCGCCTCCTCCAAGAGGGCAAAGGCTGGCGCCAGCCGCCGCCCGTCGCCCAGGGAGTGGTAGGTGAGGCTCACCTTCGACTCGGGCGGCAACGATGAGAAAGAAAGAAAGAAAGAAAGAAAAAAAGAAATAACAAAAAATAGAAACAAAAGAGGAAAGAAAAAGAGGAAAAAAAAGAAAGAGAACCGCACTATGGCCGTCGAGGTCCTAATGAGACGTTGGTGCGGCATCCAAAGCTTGCAGTATTGCACCCGACGCTCGGCAAAAAAACAAAACCTGAAGCCCCTTCGGGGACCGAAACAACAACAAAAACGTGTCCCGTTCGAAGGTGTCCCGTTCGAAGGTCCCAAGTCATTCCCGCCTGTGCGGCACTGGCGGCCAGCGCCTGGACCACGAACATCACCGGCTCGCTGTTGTAGAACGCCCCACAGCCCCAGCTGCCCGTGGCGACTTCTCCAAAGCCGGCCACGTCGTCCTCCCTGGCCCAAAGTCGTGCGCCAAATTCGCCGCGGAAAATGCGGGCGGCGCTTCTTTCTTGCTGGTGCGATAGGTATGACGGTGCTAAGAATGAACCCGGGAGTCCATTCAAGGAAACCACTAGGAATGGTTTATAGGGGTCAGTCCCTCAATCCCTAGCAAGTCTTTTCCCACCTTCAGAGTTGCTGGTTTTCTGTTATGGATGTGTTGTGCTTGCGCATGCCTGCTCGTCTCCCTCGCTGTGACAGCTCGCTTTGATCCCATGCTACACCTGGGCGATGATTCTGCCTGTAGCTGAAAGAATATTAGGAGTGGATAACGGGGTGTTCGTCCAACTGATCTGAGTGCCACGAAAGTGCCGAATGTCCTGCAAAGTTGGCTGTGCCAACTAAGGCTCTCTTGGAACTGGGTAGAAAAAGTGGCGATGCAGGCCTAGATGCTGGCTTCTCTGACGCGCTCCCAGCTTTCAACAGGCGTCTTACATCTTCCACCTGCACATCACCCGTACACAAATTGTTGGTTTCCTGTTGGTCCGGCGGCCAAAGCGCAAACTTCAATTGGCCGAATTGGGCTCGTCTCATACTGATCCCAACAAAAAGGCATGGCTTCCTTTAGTTCCCTTCAAACCAACCCAAAGACAGGCGCCCAAAAAAGGGAGGAGGCCTGTCTGTTCAGGAGGCCTCCCCTATCTCCCAACCCATCCCCAACCCCCAACCCCCAACCCCCAACCCCCAACCCCCAACCCCCAACCCCCAACCCCCAACCCCCAACCCCCAACCCCCAACCCCCAACCCCCAACCCCCAACCCCCAACCCCCAACCCCCAACCCCCAACCCCCTCGATGATCGCCTGGCAGCCAGGAAGCCCACGAAGGCCTTCTGCACCATCATCTCCAGGTGCTCCCGCTGGTATCGCTCGAAGCTGGCCTGGAGCTTCTTTTCTTCGAGCGTGGCCGAGGCACAGGAAGAGAGGACACCCCACCCACCAAGCCGCACACTATGAGTTCACACTGTGAGTTTACGATAATATGGGTGTGTCAATTGTTTTAGGGACCCTCTCCCCCCCTAAAAAGAAAAAGCTCAGGTGATATCCCCAACAGCATGCGGTGCTCTTTTTAGTTCTCGCAACACCCCGCAGCTCTCGGAGAACCTCGTGGAACCCTGGTGGAACCCTGGTGGAACCCTGGTGGAACCCTGGTGGAACCTTACCTCAGGGCCGCCCCGGACCACCCCGGAGCGTATCTGGGCTGAGACCCCAGAGCTGAAAGAAAGCTGTTGGGGCAAAAACAAATAAAAAGAAAGAAAAGAAAAGGCTTTCGGTTGGTTTCCATTGAACACCACAATAATGCAACACCCGAATTGAAACCCGATGAATACCTCCGAAAGATTCAGAGCGGAACGTCCAACCTATGAATGACAGCAAGCGGAGGACAAAAGGCGAGGTACTGCGCAACCAACAATAAGGGAAAGGAAGCTTCACAATGGGTGACGTTGCAAACCCCCCTCCGATGGAAACCCCTATGGATACTGGAATACCACCCACCAAATGAGACAAAACTGATGAAGGTACGACTAATACTGGGATAAACCAACCACCGAATTACCACATGGTGCTGGATTTTTCTACAGCAATTATGGTAGCCTGCCAAATGGCGAATTTAAATACCATCCCTCTTGTTTTATAGGGGAAACCACTACGAGGAAACCGACCAGATCTGACAAAACAACCAACAGGTGTTGACCAACCCGTTCGCAACCGCCCAGTGTTGCACTTGCCCAAGGCTTGCTCCCGGCCAAAGGAACGAGATCTCTTTTGTTGGCGTCAAACGAACCAACTCAGGAAGTCTCACAAAGTCTTGGGCAGACGAGCATGCAAGGCCCATCACAATTGGCTCCTTTTACTTGCGTCGGAATGGTCTCAGCTTCTCAAGCTCCGCTGTCCGC